TAAAGAACTCAAATTAACCCTAAATAAAGATAATTTAAAATATACCTGATACTAAGTAATGGGTTGACTAAATTCACGAAGTAGGCAATTAAGAGAAACTCGCAAGTTTTGAGAAAGCGATCAATGGAAAGCATTCCAGAATATTAAAGATAATCCTCGAATGATGCTTGATTATCTAATTTCAACATTTACACAATTAAATGATGACGAGTTTAGTTCTATAATTGAAGAAATAATTAACACTCGAAAAACGAATATATATATTCAAAGAAAATTGCTTGATCTCCTAATTCCGATATTCTTTCAACTAAATGATGATGATTTTAGTTTTAGAGTAAAAAAAATCCTTGAATCCCAGAAAATGAACACTTGTGTTCAGAGAAAATGCATCGAAATGTTTCAACAAGTTTGTAATTTACCTAATCAACAAATATTAGATGCGTTAAGTCTTTTTGAAACTATGATCTATCCCCGGGAAGTAATAAAGGAGAGATAATTTCTACATATCTACAAAAAAAAGCATATGAATTTGTTGATACTAGTCTTTATAAACCTAATAGCACTATTGGTTTATTAGAATTAAAAAATAAAAATTTAAACTATAAAATTCAAGGCTTAAAAAGAAATAAGTTTACTACTAATGCTCTACTTCACTCATTTTCTATAAAAGTTGCAAGAGCAAAAAATTCAAAACAAAAACAAATCTCAAAAATTCGATCTGCTATTCGTAAAGCAAACAAAATTCGACTTGCCCAATTTCAACGCGTAGCAAACAAATTATTTAAAATTAATAATAAAGAATATAATGCTAAATTTGTTAAATTAGCTGCTGATATAAGTAATATAGGTCAAACCTCTATACATACAACAGTAGAATGCACTAAAATCATATATCAATTTTTGACCAGAGAGATGCCACAGCATTGGGTAACTCTATCAACTTTATCATGATGGAATAATGAAATAGCAGCTGCATCTTTTAATCAAAATCATCCTAAAGAAGCATCTCGATTTTTCAGCTATGGTATTATGGCTGACAAAAGTATATGGGGAGAAATGAAAGTGTTAATTATTTGTTTTTCATACTGGAATAATGTTAAAAATAAACCAATAATTTCTGTAGCAAAATTAACTGATATAACACAATGTAATACTAAAATAGTTTCGAATATGGTATTCGAAACATGTAAACAAAAAGAAATTGACCCTCAAAAATATCATTTTTGGTTAACAGATAATACAGCCTATATATCCTCTGAGAATAACGGTGCAGTTGCTAAATTTAATTCATTAGCAACGTCCAAGTCATTTTGAATTCCTTGTAGATTACATACAACCCATATCGCTCTAACAAATTTTGAAAATACAGCATTTGGAAAATTGGATGCCATTAAAGGACTATCATTAAAGGAACATCCATTTAATCTACTTAGCTTGGCTTTTCATCTTCATGATGGATACGATCTTTCTGAAAGAAGCTACTAAAAAAGATTTTAAAAAATTTAAGAGGATTGCTAGTCCAAGCAAAAAGAAGTAAGAAGGCTAGGACGAATTAGAAGAATAGAAAGAAAAAAATAAAAAAGAAACCTTAATACAGAGTAAAGAACTATTAATAACTAATGAAGAAGATAAAGGAAAAGAGGAGAAAAGAATAGAAGGATTAAGAGTCAAGTTATCTGTGAAAAAATATAAAATAAATTAGAGAAAGAAAAGAAAAAATATTAGTTTAGATAGTATAGTATTTTACGAAAAAAAGATATTTTAGATAGCCAAATAGATATAGGATTAGATAGAATAGAATTACTTAATAGAATAGCAAAAGAGTTTTCAGATAAACTTGATTTATCAAACTTGAACTGAGACCTTTTTGAGATTTCCAAGGCTATCAAGGTAACTTGATAATAATAGCCTTTTAAACTGGAGACTAAAAAACTCTATCTAGTATAACAGACCACTTTTGTGCATCTATAAAAACAGCTGAGAGATGTTGTGCCTAAATATTAAACTTAATATTATGTAATCTACTTATATAATAATCTTAATAAAAGATCACTAGCAAGGTTACCAAAGAGTAAAAAAAAAA